TAAGTGCTTGCCTGGCAAGTGCAAGGTCCTGAGTTTGATCCCTGGTACCACACACACACACACACACACACACACACACACACGCACAAAAGTCAGTGCATCCATTTTAAAAACTAGACTGAAAAACTCACAATGTTCTTGTTGAAATACCCAGAGCTACGCTGGGCTCTCTCCTGGCCCTCAAGTCTTGCTACTCATTTTCAAGGGCAACTTTTGCGACTGAGTCTAAGCCTTTAAGTGTTAAGTCACATACCTCCTCTAACATTCCTTCCCAGTCCCACCCAGCCTCAAAGCCTGTGTGAAAATTCATCTCCATAAAGCCCCCCAAATTCTCCCACTTACAGATTCATCCTTCTGCAAACCGAAAGTATGTAATACTAAGCTTTATAATTTAAAAACTAGTTAAATCATCTTGAAAAATACCTTTAGTACCTATATTCTATTGGTGTTTTGCCTTAATTACTTCCTCCATGTTTTTTTTTTCCGTCCTTTTACAAAAGTTTATCAGTGTGTATGTGTGCGTATGTGTATTCATGTGTGGTACTGAGTTTAAAATAGGGCCTTCCATTGAGTTACATCTTCATCTACATTTGTCTGTTTGACATAGGGTTTCTAAACTTCTATGTTTCCCAGGCTGGGCTCAAACTTGCCCCCAAAAATGGTGCTATCACTTGTCTTGGTTACTTTTCTCATTGTAGAGCAGAGACTCAATGCCTGACACCCACAAGTTAAAGGAAGTAAGGCTTATTTCAGCTCAATTTTTAGAGGTTTTAGTCCATAGTCAGTTGGCTGCAAGGCAGAATTTTGAAATGGCAGACTGTCATTCACTGTAGAGGAGAAAAAGTTCACGGAAGAGCAGGGAGGAGACAGTGAAGCAGCAAGCAGCAGCAGCAAGCCTCCTTATCCCTTTTATCCCATCAAGATTATAAGCTTTCTGTGGTGCCACCCACAGCTACAGTGGGTCTTCTGTTTTCAGTAAGTCCATTTTGTCATACCCAGAGCTATGTTAATTCTACTCAGGGAACTAATTTAATTTTAGTATCTTATATCCTAGGTTCTTCCTATGAGCTTATATAAGGCTTTCAGGAACATCTATATACAAGCCATAATGGTACCTATACTCTTAGCACTTTAAGAGGATCAAGTAGGAGTACAAGCTCAAGTCTAGTCTAGGCAACTTAGCAATTTCCCAAGATCCTGTCTCAAAAATAAAAAGCAAAAGAAGTGCTGGGATTACAGCTTAATGTACAGGACCTGGGTTCAATCCCTACTACTGGTGAGAAGGGAAAGAGGAATATCTTGCCTTTTCCTGTATTCCCTCTCTAGTATCAAACCCAAGTATGAGGACTCCCCAAAATAAACTTTGTAATGTGAGCTGAAAAAGGGCACCCACCATAGAAACTCCCAAATTCATTAACCTGAGAGTTATCTGCAAGGTCACAAGTATTTAAGGATCAAATTAACCAGACAATGACATTAACTGCATTCCATTGAGTCATCCTCAGTCCCCGACATAAACTTACCCTGGACATGTAGCAAGTCTGAGGCTAAATCAAGTATTCCAGAAAACAGTCTGATGAAATTTTTCTCCATCTGATGATCCTGGAGTAGCAGACTAGCCTGAAGACTATCAGAGGATGCTACCTTGGGCAACTCTTTTTCCCCTTTTTTTACTCCTGAGTTTTGTTCTCAATGCTACAAACTAATCTGGCTTCAGACCTCCCACACACAGACTAGCTGAAATGTGATCACCCCAGCGGGTCACCTGTCGTCTCTATGTGAGCATGAATCTGATAGTCCATCCTCCTGCCTATCCCCAGAAATACAAAGAACTCTTTCTTTTCCCTTCTCCCGCACACGTAGCTAAGCAGGAAAACTGCATGGCTGGTGGTTTAGGATGCTTGACAGAGACCACTTCAGGTAAAGATTATCATTTGGCTCATTAAACTGAATGTAACCATTTGTAAACTTGTTTTTCTTGCAATACATAGGACATACATGTGAATGTATATGTATTAAAACCCTCAAGCTGAAAGGCACACACTAAAAACAAGCTTCCCTGGCACCCTCAGCCAAGGCTCTGTTTCCCTCCTCAGCAGCAATTGTTAGCAGATATTCTGCCCTCTGATCCTATACATTTTGAATCTAATTTTATACAGTGGGTTTCTTAGTAAGAGAAAAGAATAAGCATCTCCTGAGAATCAGGTCCTCGGACGTATGTCTGATGTCCACTAGTGTATCTAATCTTCACAATAAACTCCTAAGGTCGATGATACTATTTCTTCCATTTTCAGGCAAAACACCCAAGATCAGAAGAACAAGAGACCTGTCAAGGCCACAACCTAAATCCTACGTCCAAGTTACTTTTTTTAAACTTCTCCCTAGATGGTCTTTTTTCATCAAATAGACACTTCACCATGAGCATCTTATTCAGGAAACACCGCTTCTAGAATTCTATGTCCTTGACAAAAAAGGAGGAGGAGGAACAAATAAGGAGGAGGAAGAAAAGAGGAAGGAGGAAGAGGGGAAGGAGGAGGAGGAAGAGGAGGAAAAGAAGGAGAAAGAGGAAGAAATGAGAAGGACAAAGAAAAGGAAGAGGAAGAAGAGGAGGAGGAAGAAGGAGGAGGAAGAGCAGAAGAAGAGGAGGAAAAGGAGAAGGAGGAGGAAGAAGAGAAGGCAGAGGAGGAGAAGGAGAAGAAGGAGAAGGAG